AAGTGATTGATAGACATCAGCTTGTACTAACAGATTTCAAATCAACAATGGCTGTAACTTTACCTAATTAGAAGGACAGTGCATAATTAAATACAACGTTGTTTCCATGTGCATGTAATACTGAAATCTGAATTGTAGAAATCTACTTTGGAATCAGCTAGTGAAAAGTATGGACATTTTTGTAGCAGAGAACAATTTCTTTGGTAAATCTTTGCCAGGAAACAGGCATATTGATGCCATGTTCATTGCAGATGTAAAGAGGCCATAGGTACATTAGATAGGCTTTAGCTTCTTTAGGCAAGCAAGGTTCTTTGAGTAGATGTGATATCTTTTACTAGACCAACCGAGTATTTGGAAAAAAGTTGCAGGTGCAGTCACCCTTTTTCAGGCACAGGGAGTCTCTGCTGGTGCCAACTATTCAATTGGTCTAATAAAAGATATTAGGGCTGTGCGAAGCTTCAGTCCCTGATTTAATTCGGCGGAGATTCTGCCCAATCCGGTGGCTGAATCTCCAAATCGAATCTGGAGACCCTTTAATCTCTCCAAATCGAATCAGAACCCTCCAAATTGATTCAGAGATTCAGAAAGATTTGGTGATTCAGAGATAGACACAGCTTTAAATGTTTTTTCTACATACCGCAAGGTAGCAGGCGGCTCATGAATGCTGAGGTGCTGGGGTGGATGGAGCGTCCCACAGGAGCTTGCGGGTGCTCTCCAGCGCACTCAGCAGCAGACCCGGAAGTGGACCAGAAGCACTTGGAGTCCACTTCCAAGTCCACCAGGGAGCACGCTGGCCCCTCCCCCAGTGCCCTCCCCGGCTTGGCGACTGATGCCTCCTGGGTCTGGGGGGGGTACCCAGGGTCCCCCCACAGCCAGTCAGCAAGCCAGGGGCTGCAGGGGAGGCCCCCTGCAGGCTCAGTGGTGGACCCAGAAGTGTACCGGAACTACTTCCAGTCCACTTTCAGGTTCGCCGTCAAGTGTGCAGGGGGCCCCCCCGTGCTTCTGGGGGACACTCTATTCACCCCACCATCTCAGCATTCATGAGCCAAGTCTAGTATCTCAAGGTATGTAGAAAAAATATTTAAAGCTGTGTCTATGGCCAAATCAGCATCGAATCTTCGGATTCGGATTAATCGAAATGTGATCAGTGATCTGAATCATCGAATCGAATCACTGTCCCAGATTCAGGCCAAATCCAAATCTGAATCAAATACGGCCCATTTCGCACACCCCTGAAAGATATCACATCTACTCAAAGAACCTTGCCTGCTTGTGTCCTTAGACTAATATGGCTATAACCAAAAACCTCTTAGCTTCTTGTATCTATTTGAATAAGCACTGACTTACGGTTAATTAGGCACAAATGTCAATGAATTTCACAAGATTATGCAAAACTGAGCATCTAATTTACTTAAACATTTCAAACAAGTCTTCAAATTTAGAAAACATGCTTTTGTTTTATCTGCTATTAGCTCTAGTGGTATCTGCTTCTCTCTGAAACCCGAGGAAGGGCAGTTTTAAGCTTACCTAACTTCTCTTTCAACTATACAGTCAATCCAGTAAAATATATCAAAAAAGTCCCCTTGCTTCAAAAACAGTCAGGTAGTTATCGTAGAATAAATCTTGCCTTCAAGCAGGAGTACAGTAAGGCTGGCATGGCATTACAGCAATCTTCTAAACACTACAGAAGCAAAAAAGGTGGCAAGATCACGGTGTGCCATAAATCTGATACACTTTGACCTTGTTCCTGTGCTGCAGCCAAGTTGGAAAATATCAATTTTCTGCTCAGATATGACAGCATGGATTATGTGAACTGTATCTATAGATCCATGATAGTAGGATCACAAGACAAAGGGAAAAAACCCTGTCTTATCTCAATTAAGTTTCACCCGGAATGTCCTAATCAGAGAAGTCCTAGGTGCAGTGAGATACAGCTATTTAACTAACCTTTAAGGGTGGGGAGGGAGGGTCTGCCTGTCATATTGTAGGAGGGTGTGGGTGGTTTGACATGATGAGGAAGACAGCTGTTTGCTCCATGTCTTTTTTCTCTGCCTCATTCAAAAAAGTGCAGGGACCCCTGAAATAGCTTAGATGCTTCATTGGCTTTGCCTTTGCCTGGGACCAGAGAATCACCTAACCCAGGACAATTCCTGTCCTTGCATTTTTCAGTTGTGGCTGCTGTGAAAGATAAGAGAAGAGGCAGAGAATTAGCTGACGAGTGGTTGTAGAGCAATGGGACTGGAGTTCACTGGGGCAAAAAAAATCAAGTGGTTTGTTGTGGGATAGAATTAGTTTCTCTACATTAGAGAATCATTGGTTTTATGGATGATTTATATTGGGGGCAGAGAACGAATTCAGTAGGGGATGAGAGGGCATAACTAAGATGATGCGAGTAGGGGAGAGAGTTTGGACTAGAGATGAGAAATAAGGTTGTAATATAGAACCCAAGTTGGGAAAATTAAGGGGGAAGGGATGGATTTGAGAGATTAGTTTGGTAACCTTGAGGGGGTAGGCTGGTAGATAATAAATTGACTGGGTGCCTGGAAAGTATTAAGGAACAGGTAATTACATGACTATGTGCAAGACTTGATAGATAAGGGGAGGTCTGAAGAAAAGGTGCCTGGAGGGTAGGAAGAGGGGACAGAAGGGAACTGAGGGCTGAGTGGAAGTCAGTGAATGGAATTGTTTAGTTTGATGCATATGGGCAGTAGATAATTGATTTGAAAGCGGGGGAAAACAAACGAGATAAAGAGGGTGCCTACAGATGTCTAGGTAGCTTGTCAGGGAGATGTTCTACCTCATGGTGTTTTACACAAAGTGCCATGAGTTAGAGTGCCAGTGAACCCAACCAGTGTTTGCCTGGGGGAGGGGCTTGAGCCTGCCTGCACCAGCCCTGGCCAGCAGACAGGGGTGCTCCAGCAGCCTCCCAAGAAGCTGTTGAACCAACCCTCTCCCCAGCCCCACCCTTCCAGGTCCAGCTCTGGCTGTGACTCCCTTCCACCACCCCCTTTTGCACCACCCCAGTACCTCAGTCAGCATAGTTGGGGGGGACATGAGGTGGGGAGGCTCCATTCCACCCTGCCCCCCACCCCAGCTCCAGCCATGGCAAAGCCAAGCTGACAGCTGTATGCTGCCGCTATCAAGAAGCTTGGGGAGGGAGCCCCCCCACCTTGCAGGCCCCCCAAGGTACCCCAGCTGGGGTATTGTGGGGAGCTGACCCAAGCCTGCAAGGCAGGGACTCCATTCCCCCAACTCCTTGCCCAAGCCTCTTGACAGCAGCAGCATGCAGCTACTGCTGGCTCAGCTTTGCTGTGGCTGGAACTTGGGGGGGGGGGGGAGGTGAGGGAGGGGAGACTGGAGCCCCCTCACCTCACCGGCCTGGGGCAGCTCCCCTGAAGTCCACATCAGGGGCACCTTCTCCCACTCCCCTTCCCCTCCCTTCTCCCACTGCACAGGGAGGAGACTCCTCTCTGTGGCAGCACCGGGGAAGGAGCTGGGCTAGTGCTTGCCAGTGCAAGCACTAGCCCAGCACTGCAATGGTGCGTGGGATGCAGGTGGAATCCCCTGCATTTAATCCTTACAGGATACCAGGACAGAATTTCCCTAAGGTGTTCTGTTCTAGAGCTTCAGCTAATAGCAGATATAACGTGGGTTACTTTTTTGTGCAATCAGCCATTTTAAAAGCATTCTGCAGCCATGAGCAGGTGTTGTCACAAGCTGTAGAGTGCTTGCAGGTACCTTATCTTCCGAAAAATGTAACTTGTGTAAGCGCCCAGAGTTTTAGTAGTCTGTATAATAGCATCATTTTGTAATTGCAATGCAATGCATGTCCAGGTAGTACTATTTGGGTTGGTCTAATAAAAGAAATCAAATTCACCCAAGGAACCTTGTCTGCCTATGTCCTTAGACCAACACGGCTACAACCTAAACCCCTGTGTCCAGGTAGTAGTGTGATAGGTACATTTATAAATGTGTGCAATAGTTCAGGCTTTCATATGCCTTGCTTTTTTGCTTGATAGGATCTTATTAAATATTTAATGAATTTAGAGTACCTAGGGGTCGCACACATAATTGTAGAATATTTTGCATTCTCAGGTAGCAAAATGTAATTCCAGTGATTAGATATTTACACTGAGGAGTGAAAAATTTTGCAAGTAAAGTTCGTAATTACAAATTTATGATTTGGGGCTATGTCAACTGCAGAAGAAGAGTGCAAGCTGTAGGGGTTCTGGTACCCTAGCTCAGTTCCTACATCTCTGTTTAACCTTACTTCTCAAGAGTGTCCAAAGCATTGAATAGTTGTGCGTTCTGAGGCAATCTCTTCTGAGACAGCACCTCTACTCCTTATAATATTCTTCATCAGGAAGAAAGAGAACAAGAAAATGAGTGACTTGTTAACCAGGTGGGTTAAGACACTCACTTAAAAGGTGGGACACCTAGGTTTTAGTTCCCTACCCCAGTGAAAAATGTTTAATTGTTTATACAAAGTGGAACATTCTCAGCAGGAGGGACTGAGAGCCCTCTCCCTTCTTGTCTCCATGAATATGAGAGAGTTGTGCAGCATCTCTGTACCCCAGCTAGCCTAAACATCAATATTGGCTGATCAAACAGGCAACCCTGAAATGCAAAAGCATGTGTTTTCAATAGGTACCCAACCCCTTCCTTTTTGCTTCTTAGGAATTTTTCATTTTTGGAAGGGTTTTATTCTACCTGTCAATGTGATTTATTTACCATATGCCTCTGTTCAGGATCTGAGTAGCCATGGTCAGGGGGAAGTGCTCTGCTTCATCTAGAGTATGAAGAAATAGGAATTGTTTAATTGTATTAACTCCTACTGCACCACTTCATTATTTCTGTGTAATGTTCATTTTTCGCAAGTTGGGGTAGCAAGAAATAATTTTTCTCTACCTAGATTTATGTGCAGGGAAGCGCACGTGTAAACTGCATGTTTGTGTATGAGAGAGTGATATCAATCCTTGTTTTTGCTTTGCTCTTGGCAGGCACTACGACACTTCCTACCCTTGTGCGCACACCTACCTTGATGATGCAGCCTTCACTGGATATCAAACCTTTTATTTCCTTTCCTGTGGACAGTAATTCTGCTGTTGGACTCTTCCCAAATTTTAACACCGTAAGTAAACTTATTTTCATGTTATCAGTCCCATCTTTGGTCTCTGCTTTCTATGAAGAGTCTAATACCCAATGCTTGAGGCTGTCTTACAAAACTGTATTGTTGACATAAAACATTAGACAACCCTTTTCAACTCTATTATGGTCTCTAATTTCTTACATAAAGGACAGTGACAGAATATCATCTTGTATTCATTTGTGTAAGCAGGCACATTCCCTGTTAATGCATCTTGCTCCATTGCTCCATGGTTACTGCAGAGCCTGCAAAAATAGAATAGTTTACTTCTTGGGATGCTATTGTATATAGAAAGAACAGCATGGGTGAGAGTTACCAAGCAATTGTGTGTGTGTGTGTGTGTGTGTGTGTGTGTGTGTGTGTGTGTGTGTGTGTGTGTGTGTGAACACATGTAATAGAAAAAGAAAAACTAAAGCTGATTTTGGAAAAAAAAATGTTTAAAAATAGCTCATTGAAATCATTGTAACCTCACTGTAACCAAAAGATCCACTCTGATTTATTCTACCTAAAGATTTGGCCTTGCTGGGATAGAAACAAGTGAATATGAAACTGTTATATAGCCAACTGAAATAAGAAGTACAATTTTCATTAACCCACTCTGTGCACTTCGGGGTATTTTTTGTTTATGTGCTTTATTATAAAAATAACACCTGTGGTGTTTTTTTTCCCAATGGGCCTGCAGTAAATGTCATCGCTAAAAGGCAGCTGTACTGTTTCGTTTATCAGAGCAGGAACAGCAACAATCTACTTTTCCAGTCTAATTTTTAAAATTGTTTTCACTTAATTATCCCATACACTGAAATCTTTTAATAACATGCTTTACAGTTTATTAAATGATTCCCGCATACTTACAGCATATAACTAAACCCAGTATTTTTTATGTTTGCCAACCTTGTTTTTCCGTGTTCAGATAATTCAGCAGGGAATCAGTCTGTAAATTGCAAGTTAGTAGCAACAGAAAGAGAAATGGTTCAGGTCATTCTATGAAGAAGAATTTCTGCCCAGCCAGTAAATATAGTTGGCTTTTACATGACTGTTACTTGAATTGTACAGCATCATAGTTGTCACGGTAATCAGAAAAAAAACTGCATTATCAACACCACCAGACAGTGGTTGATTGAACCACTGCCAAATGTTTCCTTTTGCAAACTTAGCTTCTGTTTGAGGTGAAAAGAGCAAAAGGATTTTTTTCCCCATGTCTTGTAAATAAGTTCTTCTGAGGCCCTGTGTTGTAGTGTGATTATACCACCCAAATTTTTCAAAGGCTAGTGGCCCATCCTTTCCATTATAAACAATTTATAAATGCTACCGTATTCATTGAAAAAGCTGTACATAAAATTACGTATCATTCATGTCTGTGTTTTTGCATGTACACACACATCTAAAATAATTTCAGATATAGTTGAAGTGAGGGATCCAAAATTGTGTATAATGCTAATTGTTCATGACATGTTCTGTATCTATTTCCATCCCCTTTTTATGACAATTCAATATCTTATTTGGTTGGATTTTTTAAAAATGTTGCTGTACTTGAGCCATTCCTTTTCACTAAACTGTAGATATAAACTTTATTTTTTTTGTCCTTTGGATCCTGCAAATGTGAAGCCTACCTGTATCACTATTTATTCCTGTAGTTACTGAACATTTTATATTACAGTATTACCTGGAGGCTTATCAGGTTGGACATTTAAACTATTTTTGCCTACATGTTTTATCTTATACTTGTTCAAGTCTCTGCTCTTGGTGTTTCTCACAATCCCCTTTGGTTTTTAGTAACCAAAAGGGTTTGAAGGTGTCATCAGCAAAATTCATCAACTAACTTTCTGCTTTTTCCCTTGAAATTACTGATGAATATATTAAATAGTATTGCTACATACCATATTTTAACCTCTCTCCTCTGAGAAGCTGTAAATTTACTACTATTCTATTTCTAATTGTGCCTAATATCCTGTGGGTATTGATTTTTCTTTAATAGTATTTTATGATGGGCTTTATCAAAAGCTCACTGGAAAACTAAATCATTTACCTTCATCTACTGACAGCCACAATGATCACTTACTGTCATGTGTTCCCTTTCCAATTAACCAAGCATATCCACTGCGAATATAGATTTCACATTATATGCATAAGTGGTAGCTTCAGAACTGCCCCTTACTGGTTTTGTCTTGGTTTGTTTTAAATCTGAGTAAAAGGTTGGTTAGAGTATGTGTATGCAAAATCTGATCTCTCTCAAACATTGCAAAATTTGACTGAAAAGAGGGAACTTAAAGTAATTAGTAGTGTGTGCATGGTTAATGTCTCTTATTTGTAAGCCTGATAAATGCCATTAAATTGCATGTGCTTTGCATCACCTTGCCAAGAACGAGGAGCACATCACAGATTAACAGCATATGCTAGATATTAAAGTCCCCTGGAAACTTGTAAATTTGTGTTATTAAAGTCATAAAAAAAACCCAGCCATAATATTATAAGTTATATAATATGAGATCTACTAACATGGGGTGCAGACAGAAGTTCAGCTTTCCATTGTAACTGAGAACACCTTGCAGGAAGCGTTCTTAGTTACAACGATCCTCCGGAGCAAACAGAAGCTCACTGTAGGTTCTAGGGGGAGAGGAATCTAGTTGCTGGCTGCCAGCCTGCAGCCAGTTTCCCATAGCAATTGCCCCTCCTCCCTGCGAGGCTGCAGTTTTCAGAGTGGGAGTGGGGGGAAGGGAGCAGAGGGAGCTTGTTCTAGGCATTCTGTAGCCAGTGCTGGAAGGTGGTGTGAGTGAATTGGAGTACCCCCACCTCACCCTCCAGCAGGGGCTGAAAAACCCCAGACCAAACTCCCTCCACTCCCATAACCTCAGGGAGGCTATGCTCTCTCTCTTCAATTTTCCAGGCATTTACATTCTGAATGATGCAGCCAAACTTAAAATGTCAAATCAGTTCCAAACTTCTGTGGAAGACAACTTTCTGTTAGAAAAAGTAGAGGATACAACTAGGGCATCATCTGTTTTGGAACTTGTCCTGACCAACAGGGACGAACTGATGGAGTATGTGAACGTGATGGTTAATTTGGGAAGAAGCGATCATGATATGATAGAATTCCAGATCCTGAGACAGGGAAAACATGAGGTCAGCAAAATTAGGATGAAAATTAAAAATTAAAATTAGCCTGATTTCAAAAAGGTGGATTTCACCTGACTTAAGGAGCTAGTAGGCCTAGTATCATGAGAGGATAGATTTAAGGATAAAAGCACCCAAAAAGGCTGGGAGCTTCTAAGGGGCACAGTATTAGAAGCCCAATGAGAGACTGTCACAACATGATGGAGGCACAAGAATAATGGAAAGAGACCAATGTGGCTGCACAAGGAGTTTCTAAAATGCCTCAAATGCAAAAGAAAGACATACAGGCAATGGAAGAAAGGGCAGGTCACCAAGGACACGTACCAGGAAATAGCAAGAACCTGCAGGGACAACATGGCAAAGGAGGCTAATGACAACAAGAGGAGGTTCTATAAGTATGTTGGCCAGAAGAGAAGGATCAAGGAAGCTGTGGGTCCTCTATTAACATGTCAGGGGGAACTTCCACCCAAAGGTGTAAAGAAGGAGAATGTACTCAACAGCTACTTTGCCTCAGTCTTCACAAAAAAATTAAGCTGCCAGAAACCTAATAAGGATTATCTGGATAAGGAAGGGGGCAAGCTGAGGGAAGAAATAACAAAAGAGTCAGAGAGCTTTTGTTGCATCTGAATGGATTCAAGTCAGCAGGGCCAGATGAGCTTCATCCAGGGTCTTGAAAGAATTGGCAGAGGAGATCTTCAAGCCTTTGGCAATGGTCTTCATGAAGTCGTGGGAGATGGACCAGGTACCAGAGGACTGAAAAAGGCAAGGAAGAGGACCTGAGGAACTACAAACTGATTATTCTCACCTCAATACTTGGGGAATTATTGGAGCATAAACTTAGGAAGGCCATGGAGGAGGAAAGGCTGATCCATAAAGCATGGATTTATGAAAAAAAATAGTATCGAAGAAACCTGATCTCCTTCTTTGACAAAGTAACTGGGTGGATGAAGGGAATGCTGTGGATATAGTGTATCTGGACTTCATCAAGGCTTTTGACAAGGTCCCACACAACCTTCTCATAAACAAATTGGAAAAACATGGGCTGGATAAAAATACTACAAGGCCGATAGATAACTGGCTTAATAGCCGCAAGCAAAGGGTAATTATTAATGGATCCATGTCAAAATGGCAGGATGTTTTCAGTGGAGTCCCTGAAAACAGGGACTCCTTGGGCCAAGGACAGGGGTCTGTCCTTGGCCTGGTGCTGTTAAGCATGTTTATTAATGATTTGGATGCTGACATAGAACATTTCTTGAGCAAGTTTACAGGTGACATGAAATTGGGAAGTATTGTAAACGTGGAGGTTGTTTCAAAAGGATATTGACAGATTTGAAAGTTGAGCTAGAGCTTAACAGGATGAAGTTCAATATGGACAAATGCAAGGTGCTACACCTCAAGAAGAATAATCAAAAACACAAATACAAAATGGGGATACCTGGCTGGATGTTAGCTGTATAGAAAAGGACTTAGGAGTCTTCATAAACCACAGACTCAATATAAGTCTACAGTATGATGCAGCTGCACAAAGGGCAAATGTAGTTTTGGGCTGCATCAATAGAAGGTGTGGCAGGGCATCTTTGGTGCCTGCCACTTTAAGAGCCAGAACAGCTGCCAGAGCAGCCTGAAGGTGACTGCACCCCCAATCAGGAGTCACATGGCCAGCAGGAAGCGGCTTGATTGGAAAGTGAGACCAGCTGCCTAACATAAGAGCAAGCCTAAGCAGTAGGGCCAGCAGTTTGCAGCAAGCTGCCAGAGGAGAAACATCACCTGGCTGAAGCTGCTGCTCACATAACATCCTTGGAGGTACAGGACAGGAACTATGGGGATAGCAGGAGGCTCCTGGTCCTGGGGAATTACCTAAAGCTACACCATGC